TCACCTGTCCGAGAGGCAGACCGTGGCTTCTGAGGAACTGTTGGCCGTCCTGTTGGGGTGGGTTTTATTGATTGCAGTGGAGGTTTTGGACTGGAAGGGGCGCTAGAAGTACTTTTTGTCCTAGCTCCAATTTCTATCTTTGGTTCAGCTTTTGAATTTTTTTCTGTCGAGATTGTGGCGGAATCTTCCCTATTGAGAGCAAACTGATTCTCTGGAGAAGACTGATGAAGTTTCGTTACTGAAACAAAACGAACCAGCGAACAAAGATGGAGGTCAAGGGCATTGTCAGTTTTAATAAAAAAAAGTTTCCACCCTCCATAACAATAGAGAAAAACAGCATATCAAGGAGGGCCCATTGTAACTAACAGTGAATGTTACTAACTTTGTCTGAATTGCCCTTTGTTCTTATCAGGTAGAATAATGCTACTTTGACCAACAATTCTAATGAAGCATCCAATAAGTTCTCAATTTTTATAATAATTGTTGGATGAGAAGCACGCTGGCAGTGTGAGTGCTAGATCTATATTTGACTATATGATTTTGGGGGGGGTAATTGGCTTGGTATCATGGGAAAAGCTTTGGTCAATTCAAGAGGACATAGGAATGTATCTTTTAGAAAGACTAGGATAATCATATACATATACTCAGTGTACCTGGAAGAGAATCAGTATTATATGCTATTGAAAAGCTTGTCAAGAACTTGATAAAAAGTTGGCATGCAATTTGCAGGATAATGTTAAATATTTCCTATTTGAAAATAGTTTCATGAATCCTAATATGACCTACAAATCTAAGACAGATTTTTGAGACATTTTAATAGATCTATAGTGGGAATACTGGTTTGGTTTCCTTTATTATAGCTCTTTTAAGATGTTAAGTAAGTCAGATATTTAATATTTTCTTTTGCTTTCATCTTTGTGAGTATGGATAAATGGAGTACTAAATAATTGTATAAACCACTTTCCCAGTCTATTGATGAGTTGTCATGGGAGGAAAGAGAGGTAAGTATTTTAGAAATGGAAATCATCCATTGGCAATAACCTATGGCCAAAATGTGACTTAAATTTGGCATCAGGTTTGGTAAATTTAGGTGACATCAAATGGAGAAAGGGATTTTAATGAGATATGGTATAATTACAATCATGCAGACCTTGTGTTTTAGATTTAATAATGTGTGTGCCTGCAATCTCCTGTACATTTTGTGCCCTGACAGATTCATTCAGAATGATTAAATAAGGTTTAATATATGAGCAGTAAGAAATGTAAAGGTATTGATACACTTTTATTTTACTAGCCTAAAAGAATACATAATATTATGGAGTAACTCACCAGCTCCATCTGATCGTTCTGAATTCAGTGAAAGATCTGCTGAATCTCTAACATCATTCACTAATTTCTTTAAAACAAACAAATAGGACACATCAAAATTAGTATGTCTTCTTTGTAAACTGCCAATTGCAAATTCAACAAGAATTTGGAATTATATGTCTCAAAACGCAGAATTGTATTAAATTAAAATGATGCAAATAGTGCTCCTTGATACTACCTTTGAAATAGGTTTGGAATTCCTGTTGGATCTAAATATTCAGATTGCTCTCTGAAGCTCTATGATACACTGATATATACACCGAACATACACTAAAGCTCTACTATACACAGATACAAAGATATATACCATGTATCATGTTAATATTAAAACGCTAAATTAGTTGGTAGTTTATTTCTGGTTTTATTTTGTTGCTTGTAACATTAAATGGTCTAAAAGCTTGAAAGCAAATTAGGATCATTTAAATGCTTCATAAACCAATTTTCCACTTACATCTAGTTCTTGTTTCCATCTTTTGATAAAGTAATGATGGGAGATTCCTCTCCACACATATATGGTTCTGATGCCAATTCAACTATCTTTCTGATTACAGAAGAAATGTGTCTGTTCCAATTAGAAGAGAATAAACGTAGCTCAGGGTTGAACTTTGGAGTTCTTGGTGCTCTGAGCTGGGTTGTTTTCTTGCAGAAGTTTCATTACTCAAGTAGGTAACATCATCAATGCTAGTGAGTGTGGAGTTGCTCCCTACTTATATACAGTGACTTGTCCAGTGAATTTTGGTGGGGATGTGGCTTTCTCCTTGAGAGTCCCTTGGTTACAATCTGATTTTTATCTGGTGTTAATCTCTGTTTATCACAGATAATGTTTACAAACAAACAAGTTCAAAGAGCACTAAGGACTCCAAAGCTGTTTCTTTTTCTGATCTGTTTAGAAGCATTTCTTAACTGTCTTTTGCAAGTTTATTGTTTTGATTAATAATAATCATTTAATGTTTTGTTTCATAAGTATTACCATGAGTTTATTGCTTTCTACTGAGCTATTAATAATGATTGATTTAAGGCTACCTTGAGGTAAATACGGCTAAGCAACATAAATATTAATCCAAATCTAGCAGCATGTCTAAACTTCTGCATATGAGAAAGTACCCTTTGTAGGAAAATACGGAAATCTTTTGTTCAGGTGTTGTTCTCCATGAATTTTACCAAAATAATTACCATCCTGGTAAGGTACTTCTTTACATAATATCACATTGTAATCCTAATATCATATCTAAAATCTCCCTTTTAAAGAGTTTTGATTGTACTGAAGTATGTTGCAGACTGATTATAAAAATGTTTTTATGAAGGTCTATGAAATCTTTTGTCTGCTTTAGATCATCATTTTCTGCATGAACAATTTTATATAGCTTTAGCAGCTCTTCTAAACAGTATACTACACAGTATCTAATTGCTGTACTGACACAACAGTTCTAGGTTTATATGATACTGATATATCATAGGATCCCTAGTTCAAAATTATTTGGTAAGATATTGCTTTAAAAGCTCTGCTCTAGCCTGAAACAGCCTCCGTAATATTCTATCCTAAATGCAATACTACTAACTATTAATAAATAAAGACAATAAAACATAAATGGTTTATGCTGAACGCTGTATGGACTGAAAAGAACAACATTCACATAAAATATTGTTAAGTAGAGTATGTATATTTTTATGTATATATACAATTATCTTGGCTTATATCAAGTATTAGGCTGACTCTCTATTGGTAGATAGTACTTAATTCTAATCCTTTGATGTGCTAATTAATTTGTTCTACATAGCCTCATTTGCATGCCGTTTGTTTCTGGGGTTAGTATTTAGTTCATCAAACACTAGATGGAGCAAGATCTTCACCAGATCTTACTCAGATGCATTGTTAATTCACATTCATTTATCTGCAACGCTTAATGCCAATTCACATATCCAATTCAGAGCAACCTAACACATACACAATGTTCAGCACTTGCCATCTTTTGTCAATGCATCATCATCTGTAAGCATAGTAACACTGCATTAGGTTACGTGTCAAGTAGTAAATTCTTAATGGTTTTGTTTCTACTACATGAATTTAAATTTAAAGCAGACTTGTACCACATATTTTGATGGCGAAAAACTCATATATAAAAAGTTGATATAAAATGGCTCAAGATGACCTTCAATGTTGGCCTTTTTATTGTAAGTAACATTGCAACAGGAATCCTCTTCTCAAGAGAAAGTCATATTAAAACGAGAATATCCCTAACCTTCTGTGCTGATGCTGCTCTCCGTTCCTGCTTGGCTTTCATTTCTGCAAGAAGGCCACTGCCCATCACTTGCACCCCGTACCTACGCCCTCCTTGAGGACTGCCTTTGCCGTCACCCTTTTCAAGCTTTGAAGCATCCTCCTCTTCTGTAGAATCTGGTGTTTTTAAGTCCTCAGTTTTTTCAGCAGTGCCATTTTGTTCTGCTGACTTCAAATCCTTCTTTGAAGTATCCACAGTGGGGCCTTTGACAATACCTCTGGGAGACGAAGAATCTTCAGGCATTAACACAGTTGAAGGACGCTCAGATTTGGATCTAGGCTTGATTAAATTAAGAAAGCCACTTTTCCGAGAATCTCTTTTTTTCTTTTCATCAGCTACTTCACTAGAATCACTGCTATCTGAGCCTTTTGTGAAGGACTTCCTAATAACAAAAAACAAAACAAAACATGTAAGGAAATAAAGACTTTATCTCAATGAACCTCAGTAAACCGTGAATCCTTAAATTCTCCTTCCACGCTTCTCATTTAGCATACTGAGACTGAAAGCTATTCTGCTTTAACTAAATGAAGTATATCATTATTGTGTTAACCCAAATAAGGTTAAGCTTAATTATTCAAAAAATTAACTTCATCTGTTAGTTTCTCCTGCAGGTTGATTAATTCATTTTTTGCCCTCCCCAGGCTCCAGAGGCTTTATAGGAGTAACATTCAGGATTAACTACATGATCCTAAGAACTGCATTTTGTTGCCTAGAAACAATTTCTTTCACTGTGATTCCAGGATATTGATAATTCCGAGATAATGTATGATTTGACGGTTCCACCACAAAACCGCGGTAGACAAAAGCGCGCTCGACGAAAGCGCGTACGTGACATCATCACAGCGCGACGAAAACATCGNAAGCATTGTAACTTGAGGACCATCGGTACTCTGAAAAAGGTCAAGAGTAGCATAAATAGGAACATACTATAAAATAGCTGACTTAGGTAACTTTCAGTTAATTCATATTGTATAATTGATTATTTTTCCCTAACAGTCATTTTGCATTGAAGGTACGTATGATATTTTCCCAGTATATAACTATTAACCAAAAAACATTGGCAGGGTGCTTTATCAAACAATTGCTGGGCTCTCCTTTTCATACATATGTCTTGGGGGAAAAAAGGGTGAACTCAAGGATACATTGGAAATAAAACATCCCCTACTAGAATAACAAATAGTGGCTAAAAAGTATAAATAGAAATAAAATCTATTTAATATGAAGTTTGTCAAGCACTTTGTGTTCAAACTTACATTTATTCATTGTCAAATAAAAATCTATAGAACAAAAGAAAGAAAGGAAGGAAGAAAGAAAGAAAAAGAAGGAAGGAAAGAAGGGAGGGAGGGAGGAAATCACATTTAGTCAGGTTGTTGGAACATTTCCTATATTCTGGATTTTTTTTACAAGGTACTTAATTCTTTTGTGAAAAATCTAATATACTAGTGTACACATAACACTTCTGATTTATGAATATAGTAGCCATAAAGAACAACAATGATGTGCCTTTGTTTACAGATAATTAGTAGTAGATGCCAAAACCCATCAGCAGCACAATACACACAGTTTATACTATCTGCATAATTACTTTTGATTATTTTATTTCAGTTCTGTTTTATACAGATAAAATCTTAATCAGTTTGCAATATTTAGCACAAAAAAACTGTAAACGAAGTTCATGGTACCTTAACAAGTAACAGTTTTATTATGATAGATTTCTATAAAATATAGCAGATACTTGTAGGAAAATATGAGGGGTTAAAGCCCTCATTTGATTGGTATTTATTCCAAGTAGTAGGTGAACCCAGGATAAAAAAAAAATGGCAGGACCAAGATTAAAGATAAATTTAATTCAATTTATAGCTAATATATTTAATATAACATTATTCTTGTCATATATTTATGAACATTCCCTACTGTATTAAAATTATTTTTAATATTAATTTTGGGGGAAGTTCCCTAATGAGCTCCAAAATCTAAGATTCGTATGTTCCTTATTGTGAATTACTACCAAGGATAAAACATCCATAAAGTTTAATTCATTTAGTATTATGAGCAAGAACATATAGCATGCCTGAATTAAAAAATAACCACAGTTAGGATTTATAAGGATTTCTAATAACAAATTACCAATATTTGGGTGATAACTTTTATAAACATACAAAAAGTTAGGTCCACTTAAATCAACATATACTGAAAATAATATGAACTAATTTCTGGAGGCAATCAATACAAAGATGTCAACATTCAGATATATGATAAATGGTAATATACCAAATACCATAAACATTTAGGAAAGTAAATATGAAAAAAAAGTTTATCATCTATTTATCTATAACTTTTTTTTATAATCGCTATAGTATATTTCTATGTTGAAAAGTGGGTGTCTGAATGAGCTAGAAAGTTTAAGAGATTTAGTCAAAGATTACAGATGTCTTACCATACATGTATCTAGGTCTTCAAAGCGTTCCAGTTCAGTTAGCTCCTCAACTGTAATGATAGATCGTTTAGTAGATTTATCCTCTGCTAACTCAATGTCCAATGATTCCTGGTGAGGCAAGGGTTTACCTCGCCTGGTCAAATGATCAGCCTAGAGGAAAGGTTATAGTGAAAGCATTCTTTATAAAACAGAAATATCAATAATAAATATTTCTAAATAAAAGTTCCCAATGAATACAAGCGTATTAGACATACAATTAACCTGCTGCAAAAATGAGATGGGCTTGAAGACCATTTATCAGACACCTTGTTGGATGCTTTGGAATTCAGAATTAAGAGTTATTTGCAAAGCTGGGCTGTTCAAATTTCAATGGCTTCTAGCACAGCAGAGCAATTGCCATAAACCATCACTGTCATATTGTTCTTACAAGAAGCTTCTCCCATTTGAACTCAGGGCTCATGTAACTTAACCCAATCCTATCTTCTCAGCTTTCTGAAAACAAGTTTAAATGTTACAGATGTTCAGGTATATGCTTATATCCTAAACTCAAAACTTTTCTGTAATTTATCAACTTCTTCATAATATTTCCTTTCTGTACAACTGATCTTCTCCTTATTACCTGTATGTTGGATATATAGTCATGTTTTCTAAAGTATATAATCCAAAATTACAAGTATAAAACTATTACTCCCTAACTTTTAGAAACCTGTTGTGGCCCAGCAGGAGCCATTGGAGCTGCCAACAGACTCCGATAGCGAGGGACCCTATGAGTCGGCTCTGGACGATGTGGAGGACCCTGGGCAGGGTTCAGACTCTGAGCAGGGACCAGAGAGCCTGGTTGGCCACCAGGAGGCGCCTGAGGCATGGAGCAGCGGTGAAAGCCAACGTCCCTGACGTCAGGCCCTGGAGCAGTGGGGAGGAGCTAAGGGAGTTGGTCCCGGACACCAGGCAAAGACGGGCGGATAAGCGCCGGCAGCAATTACGGAGACTTAGAAGATAATC